ATAGGGCCAATGGAATTGTCATTTGGCCAAGCTGTCAATACATCACACCAAACCGATGACAAGGCTATTAGGAAAGAAATTTTGGGGACTACATCCAAAAAGCAAAGACAGCAATCGGGCACATGGTAGGCAGAAGGAAGGAGATGGAGGTAAGTCCCTTAAAGTCTGCTAGAGAAGACCACGGAAACCCTGCAAGAGCTGCTGCCACCAATGCGCAATTTTCGTTAATTACCTCAATTGTGGCTGTTATCCTCTTAATGAGAAACACAACTTTACTTCTAAGCAGGGAGTGAGGCTGGCAGAAAGCTGAAACCTGAAAATCAGCAGACGCAGGGCTGCATATAGCCCTTACTATTGAAATTAAGCCACATCCAAAACACAGGGGGAGGGCTGCAAATAGCTTCAGACAGCAGCCAGCCACGCAGGGCCCTCACCAGGCACCGGATGGACGCTCTCCGGACTCGTCAAGAGGCCCAAATCCCAAGTGCTCATTTCAATAACATGAGAAAATAAACACGGGGCTTATTTATAGCACAGGAAAGGGGCTGGGGCAGAAGGACTGCTCATTCGGTAATCCACCCTGACGGGGCCAGAGAGGGTCCAGACCCCCAGCTCTGTCAACCGGGTGTGCGATCGGAGCCGGAAGAGGGCAGGCTGCCAGCATCACCAGGTACAATCTGGTAAAGGCCCTGGTTAAGAGGAGGGGAAGAGAACTGACACATCATTTCATCTCACCAATCCAGGTCGAAGTACTCTCTAATTTCTAGTTAAGGACACTGAGGCGCAGGCTGGCTCCCTCAAGGTCAGGATAGGCACCCTCAGGGAGGCTGCTGTGAGAAGGAGAAATCTTAAAAACCATGGTGCCCCATGGGTGATCTGATGATGGGAAACCCAAGGGGATTGCAACTGAGATGGAAAAATGCACAAAAATATGTAAAAATAAACTAATATAATAATAATAATAATAATAATAATAATAATAATAATAAAAACCCATGGTGCCCTCCACGGCCCATGCATTGGAAAAGATGCTGTGAATGGAGTCTGCATTACAACTGGGAGTAAAATGATGGGCAGCCTCAAACTCCTGAGGGGCTTCCACCAGCCATCTTAGCGCAAGAACTGCTAACACCAGCGCTCCTTGAGAACAGGACCGTGTCTCGCTGACCTCTCAACCTCCTGGGCCTAGCACCTCGCCCTGTGAATGAACAATCAGAGAAAGCGAATGACTGAATAAATGCTTACTTCATCAGGGTCAATAGCTAGGTAGTTGCTGTTCAGCCCTGACTACCGGGGAATCAGGTGTTCCTGGAATTTATCCTTGAGTGCGGTGAGGATGTAAGTCGGTAGCTATAATCGGCGGCTATAAAAAAGGCCCAGGCAGCTCGAGGGGAGGGCTGACTGGGTGTCAGGGCCCAGGCTCCTGGGCAGTGCTCGCCACACATGCAGCGCCCTAGAAGCCGCCATCAAGATGGCACTGTGCTGCGCAGACCTCCAGCTCCTTGGTAGCTCTTAGTACCCAGGCGTCCTCTCTTCTGCGTGACAGCTCTGTGCCCTCCAGGGGGACTGGGAAGAGCTGCCACCCAGGGGCCCAGCCAATTGAAAGCAGAAGAACTTGGCCCTCAACAAGTTATAAACTGGAGGGAACAAAATGCCAGGCACAGATGTTTGTGACTCAACCATTTTTTGCAACGGGAAGAGGCCTGGTTAGAGATGAAGGAAGCCAAGCTCTCTGGTCACCTTGCCTGTGCTGCCAGCGATGGTGCGGCTGGTGTGAAGAAGCCAAGGCACAAAGCTGCCTGTACAGACCCACACTCCCTGCCCGGGAACTGGGGGTCAGAAAGCCTGAAATCAGGGACCCCTGGGGGTTCACTTAGTGTGGGAAGAAGAGCGCTTGCAGGTTGAGTTTACAAAGCTCCACTCCTGAAGGAGAAAACCTGAACATTGGAGCTGAGGCTTCCCCACCTAACTTTGGCCTGCAGCAGCTCAGTGAGCCTGTTTGGATCACCTGACCATGCCCGTCTGGCATCATGGGGCCAAAGGCTGATGGTAATGAGAAGCAGAAAATGGTGAGGATCCAACCCTGAGCTAGGAAAGGAGCGAGAGGACTTGGCCTGGGACGAGCAGACAGGCCCTATGGTTCCGTATGCCTCAGGACCTGCAGTGGAAAGTTCAAGTTGCTTCCAAAGTCTTCCTGGCTGGGAGTTGCCTGCCAATATGGCTAGAATTCCTGCCAGAACTACTGTTCAGGAAGTGGCTGGAAGAGGCTTGCAGCCAGGTTAGCATTCTCTGTCTCCGCCTCTCCACGGTGGAGCTATTTGGGGCGCTCTTTTGTTGCAACAGGAGACTGCCTGGCTCAAGAGAAACGGAAAAAGCCACCCAGCCAAAAGAGTAGCTACTGTTCCCAAAGCAAAGGAAGCCCACCAGGGTCAGCATGGGTGGCTGATGGGGAACCTCCAAATCCCAAAACCTTTCCCCTGTTGCTGGCCTGCCAAAGCACCTCCTGACAGCAGAGCAACAAGTGAGTCTCTGCTTGCTCATTTTATCCTCACAGGGCTCTAAGCAATCAGCTTTGCTGTGGCCAGAAACCTGCTGTCTTCCAGTGGTGAGGACACCCGCGCCAGTCTCCCCGCTGCCTTGCTGACTTTGACTACCATCCTAGGGAGAGGCTGGCGTCACAGCAACCCCGGGAGCAAGTGAGAGGGGTCACATATCTCCTCCAGTTTCTAGTCCTGGCTGGCAGAGGCCAGTATGACTGGAGCTCCCCCCCCCCACCCCCACCAAAGACAGCACAGAAACTAACGCCTAAAACTGCAAGTGTAAAGCACAGTTGGGGGTTCCCAAGGCTTTAGCAGGGAGGCCACAGTAGCCAGTTTTGAACTTCATGACACTGAATAAGAAGAGGAGATAGTGTAGCATCATTTGCAGGAGAGAACCAAAGTTATTTTCCTTCCTGATTATGTCAGGAGATTTTTGCCTAAATGTGTGAGGTTTGGTAAAATACATGAGACAGGGTGATCATCAGCGATCTAAGGGTAACCAGCAAGAAGGGTTTCCAACGTTATCATTCCCGCTGGGGCCCTCCCAGGCAAAGGCAGGCGGCTGGGTGTACACAGCGGGCCTGGCTCAGCTTCATCTGTGCAGGCTAGAAAGATGCAATTTCTTATAAAAGATTTCTTAATCTAAAACCAGCTGTTGTCTGCTGTAGGTCACAACATGACATTTTAATTAGCATTATTGTTCTGCTTCTGAAACCAGGCTCGATGGCATCCCAAGGGCAGCTGATCCTGACCCAAGCTGACGGCCAAGGCTAATGGGGAGCCACTCGGAAATGTGCTCAGAAGGCGGGTGAGTAGCTCGGGCGCTCTGAATCCATGAATCAAGGTCACTTGCTGGAGTCCTGTCTCCCTGTGACCAGCCCACCTGTCGGCTCCCAGCGCAGTCACTTTGGGCTTCATTTCAAATACCTAGGGCGCACTATGCGTTCTGTGACGCAACACTCCTTTATACTAAGTTGCAAGACCCAACCCCCAATGTTCCTGGGCATAATGAGGTTAGTTAAGAGGCGTTTTAATGCTCTTAGCAGTCCATGAAGCCTGGGAAGGTGATAAAGTCACACTAACAAGACTCCTAAAGAAGTCAGATTAAAGAGCTCCTCATCCAAAATCAAAGGGCCAACGCGGTTTAAAAAGAGAGGGAAAAAAAAATCCTTTGGGAGGAAGTGAGTGGATTAGAAACCGGAGACTGAGGAAGAGCAGACGCTTCTGAAGAAGCCGGTGGGGGCTGCGGGGGACACACGAGTGGGCGTGGTAAGGACGTCGACACAACGTGGCCTCGGTCCGCAGCCACCTGGCCCAGGCCTAGAAAACAGCTAGAGAGCCCCAGCGGCGCGAGGCACGCACTGTGCCGGTTACCTGTATCTGGTGACAACAGCCATCGCTTTCTCTTGGCTTCTAGCAAACTGTCCCCAGAACTGCGAACACGGGACCAAACACTCACCCTCTGACGCGTCAGTGCGGACCTCACCAGAACACACTGCCAGCGAGCCGCGCCGCCTGCCTGCGCCCAGCAGCGCCTCGAGTCCGCTTGGAGAGAAGCGACGAAGGGATGCGCCGGCCCCGCCCCTTCCGGGCACCTTAATGCGAAGGGGATGAAACGCGTATGATTTCCACTACAATTTTGCTACTTCTGAAATTTTTCTTTGACCTCGAAATCCATGGGAGAACGTCTTGTTAAACTACACATTTAAAATCTACCGCACAGGCCCACCTGCATGTCGTTCGACGGAACAATGGTGGCGATTAGGGACTGCGACTGGCACACTGTAACTGGGCCTCGGTAATTATATCCATAGCCAAGCTAATTGTTATGTATTTTGTATTTTGGGGACATATGTTATGGCTGAAGTCCAAACTGTGGCTAATCTTAATATTAGAGCCAGATAAATCTGTTTCGAATCCATAACATCTAACATTTGCCAGAGTAGATTTGTTCATCAACTGGGCTTAAAGAGGTATAATTCACACATGTGTGGTATTACTAAATGCTGAAATTTAACGATTTAAATATACCAGCAACTATTGCAAAGCAGTTGTTGTAGCAGCATCTAACATTAGCCAGAACCTCCCTGGCTAACGTTAAGTTTATACCAAAGAATGGGGGAAATTCTGGCACCCTCTTGGGGTGGGGAGGGGGGTCACGGTGCTCCCAACTTCTACCACATGGTACTAGCCAGAATCACTCAGTAGATGGCTAGACGATGCTCTCCGCACCTCCTTCCTCCGCCACACACCTATGAAACTGAGGGACCTGACCAGGAAGCAAGCAGACCCCTTCCACCCGCGGCGGCTGGCCCTTCCTCTGCCTGGGCACGCCTGCCGCTCCCAAGCCTGGGTCTGGGCCTTCCCAGCGTGGGCAGCGCAGAAGGTGGAGTTAGACATAAAGGAAATAGTTCCTTGGGCTATCAACAACCAGTATTCAAGACATAGTAGAAAAAAGGAGTAAAATATAATTTTAATCATATCAAAAAGCCAAACGAAAGAGGAACAGTTCGTGAAACTCATAGGACCCTGATCAGCGGCTGGGCTCTTCCTCTGCGGGAGTCCAGGCCTGCCTGAGGCAGACATAAATCCCACTGAGACGTTTGCACCAGACACCAGATTCGGCACTTGGCTTTTCCTCCAAAGAGCTCACTGATTCGAAAATAACTAACAACAAGATACCGGTATCTTTTACACCATCCTCCAAATCTAAAATGGGCTGGCGGGTTTCTCTTCTTAGTGGCCTCCCCTGCAGCGATGCCTCCTGGTGGTTACACTGGTGCTGACATGAAGGCCCTGGCCGGGGGCATCTGGACATCACTCAGCTTCCGTTGGGCCTTTTCGAAGAGAACCACCAGGGTCAAGAAACAAGAGGCTGTGCAGCTCACGGCGCGCTCAGGGACCCTCAACAGGCTTCCGTTCTCGAGGGAGTGTGGGAGGCGGGCACCTGGCCAGACCTGGCCTGTTGAGAAGCCCCACGCTGAAGAGTGTGGGGGAGGCCGAGTGCTCTTCCCTTGTCCGAGCTGAAGGCTCAAACCTCCACCGCTGGCACGTTTCACAAGCTGCCGATGTTGGGGAAGCTCTTCAGCTTCTCGGGAAAGTCGTCTTTGTACAGCACAGGGTCAGCCCGGTGCTCCACCACCTTCAGCGGCATTGTCCCAAAGACGGAAGCAAACTTGTTGATGCACTCAGATCTGTGGAGTGCGGTGGGTCCGTTGAGCAGGTAATGGGGGGGGGGGGGCGAGAAAAGTTTATCAGGCTGAGAGATGGCAGCAAAATACATATTTTTAACACCAACAAAAAGAAATGCAAGTACCCCAGCCCCGCTCCCAGTGTCCTACAGGATGGTGTGTGTGGATGAGAGATCTAGAGGGCTCTATAAGTTCAGGGGGAGAAAGTGAACAGGATGGATGCTTTGTGGAATCCATGGCCCCACAGAGGTCAGAATAGCTGTTCCCCTCCCCCTCAAATTCCAGTCATTCCTCCTGTGCTGTACAGGCAGGCCTCAAACCAAGGTGGATTAGCTGCCAACAATTCTTAACCCCATCACTGCCAACTACAGAGAAGGCTAAGAGTAGGAAGGAAAAATCACTTGGAATTGAGCTTCACGTAAGTTTAAAAAGCAGCAAGGAAGGTGTTACACTCAAAGCAAGGGAAGGCAAAAGAAGATGAGGGAGGTAGTCAAACCCCATTTTAAACAATAAACACTTCACTCATTCACGAAACCTTTGCTGAGGTCTGTAAGCAGCGGAGGTCTTTGCTATGAAGGCCAGAGCTGACCAGAGCACTTCCCTAACTCTGCCATGGCCATGGGGGAGCTGCCCGGCTTAGGGACAGAGGGCCCAGCACTGCTGGAGGCAGGCAGATGCCAGTCTGCTCACCCCCCCCACCCCCCAGCCCACGAGCAAGCTCCTGAGAGGTGAGCACGTCAGGCAGGCGGGAGGGAACGTGGAGCACAACAGCGGCATAACGAGGACGAGGACGCCTCAGTGTCACACCAGAAGGAACATGGCTTTTAAAGTTACGGGGAGACCAAGGGTCTATTTCAGAAAGGTCTTAGCCAGGCCCAGGCCCCTGAGAGATCCATAGTAAGAACAAACTAGCCAAGGCAGGGGCATTGACCTGGCAGCTGAACTCGCAGAAGGGCCTGCAAAGCTGCTTCTGTCCCCAGGTACTGCAGGATTCAAGTGATCATACTTAACAAGTTATTATTCTGATGCTTGGAGCTCAGGAGGAAACCAATGAATAAAGAAGGCACTGGTTATCAATTCCTTTCTTGTGGCCCTTATGTTTCTAGGAAAAGCGTGCTCCTCATTCATGTGGAGTTCTAGCTGAAGTGAGTGTGAAGTGTCCCTAACACAACCAACAACTGAAGTCATCACACATGCCAGGCTGTTACAGGTGCGTGAGGTGCATCAGCAGCCTGGCTTAACGCCCCAGAGGCTGATGGGGTGGTCCTCCTACTTCTCAGCCCCATTTTTTACTTTGGAACAACTGAGACACAGAGAAGTGAAGCTGCGTGTCCGGAAGTCAAGTAACTAGCTCTGCACAAGGCAGAGCCCAGCCCAGGGATTTTGGCTACCGAGGCTATAGTCTTACTGATAAGGACACATACTTACTTAGGTCTAGGGTCCCAGTGGATGGGCTGGAAAATAACATCCGGGGGTACCTATTATAGGCCTGATAATTAACACACAAACCTCTTTCTTCCTCAGGGCTGGGCTCACAGTAGCTTCACCGTGTGGGTAGAGAAAGGCTAAGTAACCTGCCCAAGCACCCAGAGTGGGAACCGGGCTCACACCCAGACGGAGAGATTTTGCTCTTGTTATCACATTCTGCCATAACACGCAGGCAATGGGATTCCCTCTTGACACAGTTCTTTGAGACTCTTTCAAGGGGTGGTCATTCTATGTTCCACATTGAGAGGGAGCTGGGGAAAGGACTAAGGAGAAAGGCAGCAGCTTTCCTCTCCCCAAATATGGGATCAAGGCCCTGGCAAAGTCACACCTCTCCAAAGTTATAGTTTTGCTAGTTACCTGTAAACAGATACGGGCCCAGCCAGTTTCTAGTTACTATGTGTGTAGACTGTGGCTGCCATGCCTGGCCTAGTACCAGCGAGCCTGTATTCAAGAAGAGTCCTGGTCTGGACAGAGAATAGCGGCCCTGTGGCCCCCTGGAGAGGATGAGGACAATGTCCGCTCTGTCACCTAGTGTGGCATGAGGCCACAGAGACCCAGGCCAGCTTGACTTGCTGACAGTTGCCCTGGCCAGCCTGGGACTAATAAGGACTTCGCCTTCCACACAGCCGGCCCTGGAGTCAGGCTGGCGTTGGAGGGCTCCTGACTCTGCAGCAGGAACTGAAGGCTCAGGCTCCCACCACTTTCTTTTCACACAGGGGCACTGGGCTGAGGACAGGTTTAGCAGGGAATGAGTTTGGGGGTTGATGGTGGCCCACCACGTTGTTCTGTGAGGGGTTGGTCCCCTGTCAGCAACTGTTCCCTGGCTTGGTTTTCTAGTCAACTGCAAACAGACAAAGAACTGCCAGATGTCTGCCTCTGAAGTGCGGGGAGTGTCCAGGGGAGAAAGGACACTTTCTCGTTGGCTTTCTGTCTTCCTTTCAAATGCAGCTACTACAGTAACCAAGAGCCTTTACGATTGTGGCTGGGGGAGCTGCAAAGAGAGCGAACATTGCCACAGCCTTTCATGTGTTACTGCGCCATTCACCCCCAACATTCAGTGTGGTGTGTGACACAGATACTCAATGAATAATTGTCAAACCTCTGAATGGACACTGTCATTCGATTTTAACACTCATTTTAGGAAATGAAAAGACTGAAGTTCAGATAAAGGAAGTCAATGTCCTTAAGTCAGACAGCTGATAAGTGACAAATCATAATATTAAAAGATTGGCCTGAATCAAAATTCTGCATTTTACCCCCTAAACCAATACTGGTCGCCATGTTGCTTTGGTGAAGCTACTGGTCAAAATGAACAATTATGTTGTTGATTTCTCACAGAAATAACAGTACGTCCTGGGAATGGTTGCTGGGTAGTAAAAGTTATTCTCCTTACACTACTGAGATTTCTAGTTGATGGCCTCAAATCCAAGAATAAGTAAGCTTATTGAACCATAAAATCCAAGGCAAGTACATAATTTACAAAGTGGTTCATTCCTCTCATTATTTTGTGCAAAATGGGTATTCTGCAAAGGGACTTTTAAAAAATAAAGCAAACAATGTTATAGTTATAACTCCATCTCTTGGCCTCCCCAAGATGATTTAAATCATATCTTCCTTCCTCCCGTGATTTAATCTTTAATCCAAATAGTTTTGCTCCCAGTTTCTAACTGATTTCAAGGCTGATTTCCTTCCATTTCCTATTCTCAAAGGGTAGTCTGCAGCCACTAACGCTACTTCCTGGCCACCAGATCACGCCTGTAACCCTTTCATGCCATTACTCTACCACGATGCTGTTTTCAAAGCCACCAGTGATCGCTCAGTTCCAGGCCAGCGGGTCTGCGGAGTCTGCAGGCTCCTGGCTCCCCACTGCTGCTCCCGAGCTCCACAGGCCAGGCGCTGGCTCCTCCTGTCTCTCCTGGGGTTGCTTCTTTGTTTACAGTTACTCTTTCTAGCTCCCAAGTGTCAGAGTTTCTAGAAGTCTGCCCTTGCCTTTTCTTCAGCTAGCTACTATCCCCAGGCAGCTGTCTCCCTCAAATCTATCTAGATTTTAAACTTCTAAGCTTGAGTTCCACATCTCCAACTGCTTCCTCCATTGCATATTCACCCACTCCTGTTCTCTGGCTTCACCCAATGTTACCTCTGCTGTCCTCATTGGCCATCATCCTGTTCATGACACCACCATTCACACTACCCCTCCCCCAACTAACCCTGCCCTTCCTTCCTACATTCAAGGCTGCCGACTCTTCTTTCTTTGACTCCTTCACTCTTCATTCTTTCCTATGTATTACTTTCAAATTCATTTCACAACATTACTTTGATCAAGCTACTGAAAAGTAGCTTCTATGGCTTACCAGAAAACAGTTCTTGCCCCTTAAATGGGGATCCAAGGGCCTCTGCAGTTTGGCACTAATAGGACAGAATTCTGAGCCTAGCCAAACTGGGCTGCTTACGTGCCTGCTAAATACACATGAACTTGCTGCCCAGTACCTCTGGCAGGCTAGTTTCCCCTGCCCAGGATCTCCTCTTCTTTCTTCCCTCCCGGTCTCCAGAGAGCACATCAAAAATTGCTAAAGACAACTATATTTCAAGTCATGACAGTGGGGAAAGTTTCCAATTAGCAATAAGCAGGCCTTGCACAACGTCATAGGCGATGACTATTCAGCCACTGTGCAAGACTGGGCCTCCATCCCTGCCTCAGTTTCAACCACCGGTGACCTGTGATCTTGAATACTTCCTCTTTGACAAAACTATTCCTAAAAATCCACTAAGTAAGAGGTCACAGGCTTTGGGCCTCCTTTATGGCATTAAAGATACTGCTCTGAATTCAGTTTCAGAGACATGTATTCATTATATATCATGTTCAGATATCTATACATATTATATACATCTAGCTGGATTTTTAAATAATAAACTGATAATATGATTCAAGTCCAACTTTACCTACGTCACTATTTCTAAAAACCACTGCTCAAGAGACAGCCTCCACATCTCCCTCGGTTGCTTTCTTCAGCGTTTAGGGATATTCAGGCCCAGCTGAAATCTCTTTTTGCTCTTGCCTCACTAGACAAGAACTGTTCAGCTTCAGCATGATTTTCAGGCTGACATTTTTTCCCCTACACTTTCTTTTTTGGACCACACAGTTCTAGCATTTTGATTTAGCCCACATCAATTAGCTTAATGCTATGAGTTC